GTAAGTACGCTCATCGGGGCCTCGATTGCTTCACTTCCAGCCTCCATTAGAGCAGAATTGATCTTTTATAATGAGAAGCAGGGAGGAGAAACTCGTCTCTGTCAGTAACGTATAGGAGCCTCTGACCTGCAGGATGAACGTAAGAAGAGCTCTCTGATTAGGTCAGACGTGAACTCGTGATATCGCACAATGTCAAGTGGCGGGAAATTGAAACTAAAGTGGACTACTCGAAGAAGAATCACAGATGTACAGGCCAGCGTGTCTAGAAATATTTTAGATGCTACAAACTGTCAGATCATTCAGCTTTAGGTTAATCAGTAAAATGTTAAGAAGGATTAGATTCATAATTTAAATTTAGCTTTCTTTCAATGGAAGGTGGACCACCATGTAAATACCTGTCTGTGTGAGAGTGATCTTTTGTCTCTTAGCAAAATGCTGTATCATAAAAGAGTAAAATGAAATTCTCAGAAAATAATCACTGGATGAAACTCTACAACTGGTTAACCTTTGGATTCAGCACCATTCAAGGCAGCTGCCTCAGCTGATCCAACTGAGCAAACTCAATAAAGGCTCCAACTCAGTCTGGCGGGTGTCGTGCATTCCTCCCACAAATGCTGTTTGCTGGTTAAGAACTGTTTTCTAGTTGGACGCCACCGGGTATGACACACATACCCTATTTTTCAAACTATAAGGTGCACCAGATTATAAGGCGCTTTAAGTGAAACAAGTTCATTTTGACCGATTTTTGAGCTCCGTGCACTACATAGCATCAGTTCGAGGTCAGTAAGCACAACCAGAATTAATACATAAGGTGCACCTGATTATAAGGCTCACTGTCGATTTTTGAGAAAATTAATGGATTTCAAGTGCTCCTTATAGTTTGAAAAATACGGCAAACAAGAGAAAATACACAAACTGGCAATGATAGCAATGCATGATGGGAATGTAAAGGGACAAAAGGTACATTTAAGTATCTGTTCTGTAAAATAAACATATTAATGTCAATAAATAAGAAAATCTACACTCTTATTCCTTGCTGTGATTAAAGTGCCATGTTTACCCATAATGCATTGCATTTACACCATACTGCTTAGTCTTTACAGTGCGTTAGTGTAAATGCAATGCATTATGGGTATATCTTGATCTTGAGCTGAGTATTGCCTTCAGCAGCCACCATAAAGCTTGAATCCAGATGTTGTGCAATCCAAAAGCTGGAGGTGAGCAGATGGAGGGGGGTTAGCTTCAAGTGGTTTGAATGAGCTCTTCATGTATGTTCAGAATAAAATAACAGAATTCTTCCTTCTCCACTGGGTGGACTTCAAAGCAGCACCTGTTCACTAAGTGCTCTACTTGTTCCTACAAACATGGCCTTTATAGAAAACGATCAATGCTTAATTATTCTTACAGGGCACCCTGCTAATGGTCTTCGTTGTCTGTTTGTGTGCAAACACACTCGGATGGACTCAGATGAGAGGAGTTTTTAACCACAAACTCATATGTTCTCTTTATAATCATGCGTAGCTACTCAGCGTTTGTGCTGTGTTTGGAATCTTCAATTATGCAGGAGATAAAAAAAAGATATGCAGCCCACGCCTCTGACACTGCTGCTTAACAAGCTGAAGCAGAAACCATCAGGCTTCTAAACGAGAAGAGACAAAACAGCTTTTTTTTCATGGAGCAATCATGATCTGAACTGAAGCTACATCAGTACTAACGATCCAAATCTAATTGAGAATGCAAAGTATCGTGATTCTAAAATCACAGAGCCGACATGAAATAGTCGTTCTGAAAATCTCACATTGCACGAACTGGACTTTATTGTGTGAATTCTTATGAAACATGCACACTATTGTGACCCATTTTTCTTTTGCACGATTCTCGTCCCACAGTTTTCAAGCTATTTCATCAAATCATGTATCACCATGTTCAGCTCTCTCAGGACAATCCTGCCATGACTCTTGGTGTTGGTGCAACTTTGGCTTTTTGAGATATTTAGCCTTTTCTGACATTTGTTTTCCACATTGTGGCAGCACAATGGATCAGTGGTTAGCACTGTTGCCTCACAGCAAGAAGGTCCTGGGTTCGATCCCCGGTTGGACTTGGGGTCTTTGTGTGGAGTTTGCATGTTCTTCTCATGTTTGCGTGGGTTTTCTCTGGGTACTCCGGTTTCCTCCCACAGATCAAAAACTTGCATGTTAGTCTGCCTTTAGGTCCAGATCTCTCTTGCAAAAGAGATCTGTGATCTCAGAGGGATTTGCCTGGTTTCATAAAGATTAAATAAAGTTTATATAAAGATGAATAAATAATATAAAATGAATTTAGCTCATTTTACATCTTTCAAATCTTTAGATGTGTTTACAACCTTTTACTGCTCCTTTCACATTTTTGTTCAGCTTCTTTCAGCTTCCTTGTGCAAATTTAAACTTTTTTCAGCTACCTTCAGCTGTTTTTAGCTGTTTTGTGCTCCTTTCAGATTCTTTCTGCTAGCTACAATATTTTTGAGCTTCTGTAAACTTCTTTCTGCTAATTTCAGGTTGTTATGCTCTTTTCAGCTTTGTTCTAGTTTCAGCTACTTTTAGCTGCTTTATTGCTAAATTGAGGCTTTTCAGCTAATTTCAAATTTTTTAGCTCATTTCACTTCATCCTGGTAGTTTAAACTTCTTTCTGCCTTTTCAGCTATTTTTTTCTAATTTCAACTTTTGAATTTCCAAATTTTTGTGCTCATTTCTGCTTATTTAAACCTAATTCTCAAATTTGTGTTCTTTCTACTTTCTTCTACTAACATAGACTTAGTCTTACATTTCAGCTACATTTCAGCATGTTTTTTTAGCTAATTTCTGCTGTTTTTCAGCAAGTTATTCTGCAATGAGCACTCACACTACATTTTTGCAGGAAATAGAATTTCTCTGGTTTTGTTTGTCTCCATAAAAAACACAGAGATCAGTGGATTTAGAAAACAACATTTTAAAGCTTTTGACTTCAATAGTTCCATGTAGACTCAGAAAAAACATTAAATTTATAATAAATCAACATTAAACTTTCATGTTCTTGAGGGTATTGTCTCTGCTGCAGATCTATGACTGAGGAGATGGATGAGAGTGAGAAAACAAACAGGAATACACGCGTTAAATATCATACAGCTCTGTGTCTGTGCCTGTCTCCCTGTGTTTTATCTCCACATTAGAGAAGAAACCTGAGCTGATACGAGACCTTGGTCTGCAGTGAGATCTCAGTGAGCACAGAACATGTTCGAGTGAGGATGAGAGGCAACGGGGATGGACCAACAGGACTTCTACGATCAGAAGAACAGAGCTTGCAGCCGATGACAGGCAGGGACATTTGCAGACTTTGTTTAACATGGGTGGGAGAGTAGATTTTAAAAAATGGAAATGAAAAAGCAGGAGGGAAGGAAAGATGGGGGTGAACAGCTGAGAGCACATCAGAGAGAAGACAAAGAGGATTGAGTACTGAGCAAATTACTTCTTCACCAGTAAAAAAGCATGAATTCAGAACATCTTGTTTTTTTATTTGCATCTTAGGAGCCAAACTTGACTTTACAGCTACATTTCTAAAGAAAAGCTGTATAGAATAGACTAAAACACACTGATTCATTCTTAATTTGCATAAAAATTGAGATCTGGCTGCAGATCAGACAGCTGCAGGATGATAAACCTACCTGGCAGATGTTGGATGGAGAGTATCCAAATGCTCCTCTCACATTAGAAACCCTCCCAGTGGACCTGCGCTGTGAAGATGCTCATCCCTTTTCCACTGACTCCTCTCCTCGAACAGTTTACATCACTGTCTGCCTGCTCTGCTGCGATCTGTCTCCCTGTGTGCCCCGGCTCCTCCACCGCTCTCCACCCTGCGAGGACTCCTCCTCCACATTCACTTTAATGTTCACACTTCACTGCAGAAAAGGAGGAGAGGGAGAGCTGATGCATGGAGGGAGGCTGCAGCGCCGAGCGGTCTTCCTGTGAAATCAGGAGGTTGCAGACGATCTGCACCCAGATCAGCTGTCTTCACATACCTTGGATTACCACAGCTGAAGTTGTGGGTGAAACCTGAGTTTACCATGAAGGAGAATACATTTGGTTTAACCGATGTTTTCACTGCTGACATACAGTAAGAGATAAAATCACATAAGTAGCTGCTTTGTTTTATGTCAGCGTAAACATTTTGGTTTATGTGGAATCCAGAAGCACCAACATTAATAAAGCATGTTATGTCTTATTTCCAAACAACAATATCTGTGGAACGTGAGAGGCAATAATATTTTTACCTGTAGGTGATTAGTCGAGTGGTGGTGAAATACTTCATCAACTAGTGGAAAGATTTGAATGAAATACCCAGAATGTCAGAGTCAGAGTTTCTTTATTGTCATTCGCACCTCATGTGGTACATGAGGTGGAGCGAAATTATGTACA